AAATATTGCGGAAATCAGAATCAAAAAATATAACGGAAAATCTTCAAAGTATTGTTAGAAACCTCAAAAAAGTCCGCAATAGAAGACAATTTTCTACGTGTTTTAGTTAAGATCATTGCAAAAATTTTCTTGGAATCATATTTTATGGGTCTGATTATATTAATATATACACTTTTTATATCATAAGCAGAGACATCAGAAAAGAGAATAGAGCCAGATGCAGTGACAAGACTTGATCCAAAAGCGTAAGATTCTCACAAGCAATGATGAAAGAAAAATGAATTAGCGTTTGTTTTCATTATGTATGTAAAGTTTACAACTTTGTTCCTTTTGTTTTCGTCCTTGATTCCCACCCAACAGAGGCATACAGCTTATGGAAACCCTGCAACTGCAACTAGACGTCCAAAGACGCCTGCACGAACAATTAGAGGTTTAGTCCTCTTTTATTTCTTTATTTTCTACTTCAGTAACTAATATCTTATATGATCATTTTCTATACTGAATCCTCTTCTATTTCTCTCAATTAGATACAAAAAAATCTACAGCTGCGAATTGAGGAGCAAGGGAAGCGGCTAAAACAAATCCTAGACCAGCAGCTGCAGACCAACAAATCTCTTTTTCAAACCAATAAGTTGCCAGATGATTCATCCACTGATCTCAAAAGTTTTTCTGATTTTGACACACAAGTATCTGATAGTACTCATTCTTCTTCGGATTAATCATGTTAAATATTGTAATCACCATGAAAATTTTACAAGAGAAATCGATATAATAAGGCATTACAGTACAGCATCTTTAATATACAGATTTATCTGATATGATTATTCAACAAAGGTTAACCCAAATAGACCAGAAAACAATGTTCACTGTGGGAAACAATGTTCAATGTTGCACAAGTACAAATTTTTAATTGATGGGTCATTCACAAGCAGTCATATATGTTGGTATTGAGCAAAAAAAGAAGAGAAGAAATTAGATGAAAATGATTCTGATATTCATTTAAACATGGCTTAAATACATAGAGAAATGGAACTTTTCTTGGAAACACGAAAACTTACAATAAGAGGCTTGTCAATATACATTGTTTTAGTGCTTCAAACCTGGGCCTTGGTGAATATGAACAGATGCAAATATTGAAAGGATTGTGTTATTCATCAAATGAACATGCTATTTATAACATTATAAGATGTAGAGCATAATCTAAGTAACTTTAGGTTCTAGAATTCTAATTATAGAAAAATAATGTTATATTAAAGATATACGCAAATTATAGTACAATTTACATATAAGATATATTTATCCCTTTTGCTCTTTAACCCCTCGCAAGTTGTACGATGTAACATGTAAAAAATTGGAGCTCAAGTGATTGAACCTTGTAGAAGGAAGTCTTTTACTATAAATGTCAGTTAACTGATCTTGACTGACGATGTAACATGTTTTTAGTTGTTCTGCTTGTACTTTTTCCGGATAAAATGAAGTGAAAGAAGGACGAGAAACATGAGAAAGATGAAGGGAAGAGGAAGAACAAGAGTCACCTACAATGGAAGAAGAAGAGAGACTCGTGTTGTTTGATCAAAAGTGTCTTTTTTTATTTAACATATTTTTATTTAATTTAAAAAAGAAAACAACATAATGGTATCTGTATAACAGTCCCGGAAATTTAAAAAAAATGTATATAAAGAATATGAGTGCGGAAGCGAAATAAAATGTTCTGATTAATATCCCTTACACAATAACTTAAACGTATTAATAATATCAAAATATAAGTTCTCTAAAGGAAATACTAGAAATGAAAAATTATAAAGAAACTAATAAACATCTAGGCATCTACTCGCCGTCTTCTTGTGGATCGGGCTCGGGAACCAAGTCCTCTTGATTTGAAATGGTTAAGTAAGGAATGAACTACACTAACCCAGTAAAGATATCACACTATATTATCGTCACAGAAGTAAAGGTTGGTAGAGAATAAAAAACAACCAATGGAGTACAATTTTGAATAAATTCATTTATCAATAATCAAACCATTTACCGTCCACTTACCTCAGTGAGATTTATAAAAACAACCCATGAAAATAACAATATCATAGATATCATGAATTCATACATAATCTGTAACATAACACATGTCGTACTTTTATATTTCAATCATCAAGTAACAGTTGCCCCCTTTTTATCAGCCTACTAGTATCTATGGGGATTCATAGGGGTCTTTGCTATACGTGAACCATTCCCTTAACAAACTTAATTTCCGGGGCGGTTCCCATACCCCGTCCGGTATGGGCGCCAAACAATAAACCTCAATACCCCGTTCGGTATGAGGGTGAAACGGGCCGTCTCTATACCCCGTCCGGTATGAGCGCCAAAACATTTAAAGTCTCCATACCCCATCCGGTATGAGACAACGTTCCTGGTAGGGTTCCCTATAAATCCGGTCCGTCCACCATCTCCCAGGAGATCTAGTGAGACTATTAACTTATCCATTTATCAATTCACATCCCTTTCCTATTATTTATTAGTTTTCCGTTTCCCACATAAACATGAATACTAAAGCAATTAACGAGTATCCAACAAGGCAAGCATATCATTAGATTCACAAAATCAGGCCGAAATGAAGTAAGTAGTGATTCATGCATTCAAAACCCTATAATAAAATAAACCAGATACCATAATGCATTTAAACTGTAAAATAAATCAAACAGGAACTGACAGAGAAATATGTTCGATTCGGGCTCCATTAGCAACCGTAATTAATTATACATATTTACTCAATTTGTACAAAATACAGTTTTATCATTTATTCAGACTTCAATCTTGTGATAGGAAATAGGATGAGGGGTCCTTACCTAATTCGACGTCGAAAACTGGATTTTCACTGCGGCTACGGGCAGTCCCTGGATTTCTTAAATTTTTTTCTGGGAACTGAAACACACTTACGGTACCTACACATGTCCCAAATAACTCAAAATCAGACCCAAGGCCTACTCGACCAATTTCGGAATTCTGGCATGGTGGCGGTGATCCGTTTCGGGTTGACTGTTTCTGGCCGTTTTCGGCCGAATTCAGTGAAACTTACATTGGTTCCTGTGAGAAAACACCCATAGGGCCCTCGGTGGGTCGAAAAAAATACCGAAAACTGAAACTTACCGGCAACTCCTCCGACTCGAGTCGCGATTTGGTGTTTTGCTCCGATCAACCTGTAGAGGAGGAAACGGTGGTCACAATGGTGAAAAAATTACATCGAACGGGAATGGAGAAGGGGATCGTCGGAGGCAAAAATTGAGAAAAATCACGGCGGCGCCGCTGGGTTTCGGCAGTGTTTTTCGGCCAATTGGCCCGTGTTTTTGCTCTGATTTGGTCATAGGTGGGTTCAGCATCGAATTCTAAGCCAAGAGAAGAATTTTTACCTCGTTTGGTGGCCAAAAATTGCTCCAGTGCGGTGGCGGGTGGCGGCGGTCGGCTCCCCGGCGGCTGGGCTGTCTTCTTCGGCGAGGGGCTCTGGCGGATAGGGTTAGGGTTTGGGTGCAGATGATATTATTTATAACCATCCACTTTTAATCTGAGCTGTCTATAGCGATTCAATCTGGGCCGTCCGATCGCGATTAAATAGGAAATGAATCTGAATCGTTCATCGCGATGCAATCTGGGCCGTCCGTGCGCGTTTTTTATCTGGGTCGTCTGTGCGCGCGGGAACGGATCTCAGCCGTTCGATCGCGCGAACGCTGATCGCCCACGTAGCTCCCTTCCGCGTGGCCTCCCACGTCAGCGTCTCTGCCACACGGCGTGTCCTGGTTGGCCGGGACTGCTGACTGGGCTGCTGACATGGCGTAATTTTTTTAAATTATATTTTGACCCCCGATTTATAATTTTCTTTTCAAAAATATCCCAAGAACCTAAATTTTCACCCCTTTTTTTCAAAATTATTTTCAATTAAATCCCTAAATAATTTATCCCTTTTTATTATTATTATTATTATTATTTCTATTTAAATAAATTAAATTAAATTACAACCATATATTATTACATAATAAATCATTACATTCATATAATAATTACAAAAAATTAAAATAAAATAATAATAATAATAATAATCAAAGAAAAGGGTTGGGGTGTTACAACTCTCCCCCCTTAAAGAAATTTGGTCCCTTAAATTTGCCTTTTACTCTTGATCGATTAAATGGGGATACTGGGCTTTAAAGTCTGATTCTAACTCCCATGTAGCCTCTCTTGGTGTGTGGTTCTGCTATACGACCTTTACAAATGATATTTTTCGATTGCGAAGCAATATACTCTTTCAATTCGTAATACTGACTGGTACTTCCTCGTAGGATAAGTCTTCTTGGAGTAGGAGGGGTTCGTGAGCCAAGACATGAGAGGGGTTCGGGTTGTACTTGTATAGCATGGACACATGAAATACATTGTGAATCTTGGAAAGCTCTGGAGGTAGTTCTATTATGTAGGCAGCAGTACCAATCCTGTCTAAGACTTCAAATGGTCCAATGAATCGGGGGTTCAGTTTTTCCCTCCTGCCAAACATACTAATTTCCTTGAAAGGAGTGACCTTAAGGAACACTCGGTTGCCTTTCTCAAACGCTAAATCTCTCATCCGGGTGTCC